TGCCCTTGAATCCTCAGGTCCAGGTCCAGGATGCTGCTGCTTCGTCTCAGAACAAACCTCTGTCCCCACAGGGCCTCCCAGGTTGGGGACTCGGCCCCACTAGTGAATTCTGGATGGAGGCTCCTCCTGCTGAAGCTTAGGACGCCGGTCCCCTTGGTGCGTCCTCCGCTCCTTGTCCCTCCTCAGTCGCTGCCTCTCCTGCTTCCCAGGTCTCCAGGCCCAGTAGCTCGGCTACTTCCTGGACAGCAGAAGTGGTCCCTAGTGTCAGTGCTGCTTGCAGCCATGGAAATGCCCAAGGTGCTCCCTATTTCCTTCAAATCAGTCCAGCAGGGTGGTTAGGAGTTCAACCTGCTCTGAAGATGGTCCTGTCCAGTTCCTACCCACGTGGGTGTGACGTTCTTTTCTGCATCAAGGAAACTTTGCTTTCTCCGCAGAGGCCTCCTGATTCCTCGGAAAGCCCGCTGCTCTTGCAGAGTGGGGTGCCTGCCCAGGTTTCTCTGGCCCCACAGGAGCGTCTCCTTCCTTGGCCAGGGCAGCCCCAGTGTGGGAGTGTCCACCCCGAGGGCCGACCCCTGAGGGTTCCCCACCCAGCAGCTGCTATCAGCCTCTAATTCGGCGATCTTGGTGACTCTAAGCAGACCCAGGAAGAAGTGGGACATTTATACCAATACCCAGAATGATGGTGGCCTGGTCAGCCTGCTATTCAGGGACAGAGGAGAGAGAGGTGACATTAGAAAAGGCTAGTCTCATGTGTGTCAGACCTTATCTGGGCCCCATGTACCAAGTGGGATCCGGAGCACAGGACAGGAGTGTCCATCGCAGTCAGTTTACTAGAATAGAGGTAGGAGGGATCACTGAGACCTTGCCCTCTGGTGAAATATCCTTACCAGTTCCCTGAAATCTGTCCCAATGAGATTGATATTCACTCTTTTGGGGAAAAGAAGGAATAGAATTGGAGAGAGGGTAGAACCCTTCCCTGCATCTTAAAAATAATTGGAAGAGGACCTTATTCACAGCCAGAGAAAGTCAGATTGAGGGGAACGAATGTGAAAACCATGGTTCTAAGTGTCTAGGTTTGACAATTAAGTTCGGGAACTTGTTGCAATGATGTTGCTAAACATTTTTGATATCAGAGGGATTATTCATTATGAATTTGTACCAACTGGACAAACAGTTAACCGAGTTTACTGTTGAAAGTGCTGAAAAGGCTGCATAAAAAACTTAGACAACCTTAACTTTTTACCAACAATTCATGCTCTTGCATCACGACAATGCACCAGCTCACATGGCACTGTCTGTGAGGGAATTTTTAGCCAGTAAACAAATAACTGTATTGGAACAAACTCCTTACTCACCTGGTATGGACCCCAATGACTTTTTTCTTTACCTGAAGATAACGGAAATACTGAAAGGAAGACATTTTGATGACATTCAGGACATCAAGGGTAGGTAATACGATGACAGCTCTGATTCCAGAAAAAGAGTTCCAAAATTGCTTTGAAGGGTGCACTAGGTGCTGGTGTCGGTGCATAGCTTCCCAAGGGAAGTCCTTCCAAGGTGACCCTAGTGATATTCAGCAATGAGATATGTAGCACTTTTTCTAGGATTGGTTCACTAACTTAATTGTCTGATCTCACGTCTGCTTCTCCAACCTGGTGTCCAAACATCAAGTCTGACTTGGTCATTTCCAGACTTTCTACAAGCCTGAGCAAAGATGTGAAGCTTTTGTCTTTCTCTCTTTTCCTGACGGCCATCTCAGCAAGGGCAAGGGGCAAGATGGAGTTCACCCCATGCCATGTAAACTCTGCACCTCTTAGAAGGGGGGGGCAGCTGAGGACACCTAGCTAGATTGACTCAGATGGTTTTGGTATCTTTGCACAAAGAAGGGGACTCCTGGGAGCTGGCCCTGCAACTCTTCTGGGGTCTTCCTCCCCTGGCCTCCAGGCCCTGACCGTCACTTCTTGTTTTCCATTCTTGCTGCCACATCTCATGATGGCTGCAGGAGGAGGGAGACATATATGATGCCCACAGAAAGTTACTTTCACTTCTCTTTCCCCATTTGGGTGGAGCCCTCTCTAGGTGAGTGGGTTCACAGGCTTCCTGCTCAGGGCTGGGCAGCCACATTGGACCCAGTCAGGGGAGACCAGAGGTATTAAAGGCCTAGGCTCCAGGCCCCGGCAGGGCCCAGGCCGGGAAGATGGCCTGTGGGAGCAACCACCTCAGCACCAGGTCAGTCTCTCTCTCCTCCTTTAACTTTCTCTCTGGCCATGTTGCTGCTTTAGGGGCTGTTAATAGGCACTCATCTAAACCTTAACCTTAGATAAGAACACTCACAGCGATGTAATGAAATGCAGGAATATGTAGTGAGAAATCCGGTGTTTAAACTGCAGCAGGACAGCTGCTGGTGTGCGTCCAGCGTTCCACCCCCACGTGACTCTTGTTTTACAACCACTGCTCCGCTGGCAGGACGGCCTGGAGTCCGCTGTCCTGTCTGACGCTTTGAGACAGCGATTGTTATTTCCTGTGACCTCTGAACCTCCTCATTTCCCTCAGGCCTCCTGCACCTTCACCTAGGTTGTTTCAAAGGAGGTAGTTTAGAAAATATGAAATTCAGGATAAACACATGAGTTGTTTGCAAACACTGAGGGCTGTGGTCTCATGTGTGACCTGGGGACGGGTCAGCTCCGGCCTAGTCCCATCTCTGGCCGTGGGTCTGAGTTCTCCCTGCACTGATCTGGATCAAAAGAGTAAAAGAAAGAGAAAGGATTAAGATGGGAAAGACTAGTGCAGGCTGAATGTTTTTATTTTTACTTTGATTTTGTTCTCTGGGTTATACATCTGACGAGGAAAAGGGTAGAAATCCTTTTCTCTAGTAATGAGTCATAATTAACATTACTTAATATGTTTAATTTAAAGACATTTTTTATTACAAAGAATTACATTTTAGATTCTTGTTCATGAAATTTCAAACAACATAAAGTATTTAGAGGGAAAAAGCCCCACTCACCACCCACCCCCAGCAGCTTCCAATCCTGGTCCTGTTGAGGGTTGTGACATGGCCTTCCTTATCTTTTTCTATGCATTTACACGTATAACTTATTTCCCTAAATACATAATTCGCATGTTGTTTTTCTAAAACATTGAATTATATTCTATATGCCATTTAACATTGCTACTTATTTTAATAGCAAAAATATTAGAGAACTTCTCAGTGTAAGAAACATAGATCTGCATTCTTTTTAACAGCTGCATACTACTCCATGGAATAGATATACCATAATTTTTAAACCATTCTCTCCCATTCACAAACAGGTCATTTTCTTTTCTTTTCTTTTCTTTTTTTGATTTTTTTTTTTACTGGTGAATTGGGGGAATGGGAACAGTGCTGGGGAATTGGGGGAAGGGGAATAGACAAGCTGCTGTTGCCCCACTCCTCAGTCCAGCCATGGAGGACGTTGCTTCACTAGCCCAAGTTGGCACCATCATTGCGCTCTTCCGGGGTGGGCGAGGCAGATAAGTCACCGGCTTCTGGACCGCTGCTCAACAAACAGGTCATTTTCAATTGTTCACTTTTACCAACAAGCTGTGATAACAACATCCATATATTTTTCTCTGTTTTGCATATATACAAGTATTTGTCTTATGTAATTAACCAAAAAAGTAAAATCACTGAGGCAAAGGGTACTAATACTAACTTGTTTATAAATCCTGCCAAGCTGCCTTTCTGAGTAGCTGAACCAATGTATTCTACTAACAATGAGATGAACCATCTCCCAATTCCCATTTCTGCAAAGGTGCTGGATAAAGAGAGTCACTTAGTTCATTTGTATTGTCTGATTACATGGGAGGAGAACAGTTTATTGTGTCTATTGGGCATTGAAATTGCCTCTTTTATGAATTGTTTGCTGGTTTATTCTTGGCCAGTGTTATCAGTTGAGATGATTGTCCTTTCTCAGATGATAAGGGAGAGTTTGCTAAATACTCTGAAAGTTATAGATATACTTTCCTTATCTTTTACCTTTGGCTATGGTGACTTCTATTTTATTAAAGCTTGAAAGATAAAGTATAGACTTATGATGGCATTGATTTTATGAGATACATACACTCTTGATATTATGAATAATTAAAATGCTGCTGAAAGTTACTGTGAATTCCATGCACATTGTCTTTAACCATAGTCCTTTTTCCTTAAGATGACAGATTCAATTCCACTTTCACTTCAGGGAAAATTTCTTCTTCTATATCTTCAAAAACATATTATTTTTTAATTTGGGGGCAAAACTATTCTTCCATTGGAGCAGCTTTAGCCTTCAGAGCTTTATCTGTACCTAATGCTTTCATCTCTTTAAAGTTTTACTTTCTGTTCACAGTGGTTGTCTCAAACCTTTCTTCTATGACAATTATTTAATGTTTAGTAGTTTTTGGTTTCTTCTTATTTCCAATTGTTTTAAAGTTGATTGCGTTTATTTTTGAGGGAGGGCCTTAATTTTCTTCAACAGCTCTGCAAGCTCGACTTTAAACCACATTTTGTTATTATATCAACCCATCTGCACACTGTTGCTTTATTTATTTAGGTTTTAATGCAATATAAGTGCTTTGGAATGTCTTCTTCATCCTCTGGGTTATTCCTTGAGATTGATTCTGTCTGCAGTTTCATTTCTGTGTTGCTTTACTTCCTTTTTCACATTCTTGCCAGGGTTTTACTCCCCTTTTCGCTATGCTTGAGCTGGGCAACTCTCCCATCACCCCTGGTTTGCACAGTTTGCATCTGGATGAATTATTTTTCACAGTTTCTGTGTTATCTGACACTGAATTGCTTCCCATCTCATCTACAGTTTGATCTGTCATTATTCTTATCAGTTTTTATGAAGGCACCATTGTTTGGTTAACCATCCTTCTCCCCACTGACTTGCAGTGCCACCCTTTACCCAAGTGGCCATTATATGCAGAGTCTGTTTCTGTGCTCTCTCTTCTCTGCCATTGACCTATGAGGGCCTCTCCTTGTGTCATATGACACTGTCGTAGTTGTGACGACTTCATATGAACTCTTGATTTCGGGTAGGGTAAATCTTCCTGTCCTCTTTTCTTTTTCAAAGTGTCTTGGCCCTTTGCATCTTCACATCAGCTTGTCGAAACCCATGTGAGATCTTATTTGGGATTCCACTGAATCTATACATTAATTTGAAGAGAATTGACATCTTTATAACATGTGTCTTCTATCTCATTAATATGGTAGATGTATATTTTTAATTGAAAAACATTTTCTAATAAAATTTGTGTTTTTCTCCCTAGAGTTTTTAGAGGTATTCTGCTTTATTTATGGATACTCGATACCTTTATGCTCTTAAATCAGTAAAATTTAAAATCAACCTTCTAGATGCCTGTTATTAAGACAGAAATGAATCAAAACTTTGCCACTCTCTGATTCTAATAACGTCTATGGAAATATATACTCATTTATATAATATATACATAATGACCATTTTTTTATTGAAATATAATCCTTATACTTATTATTTCTTTTTCTTGCCTTACTGTATTGGTCAGGATTTCCAGTATTATGGCAAATACAAATAGTGATAGTAATCATCTATGTCTTGAGCCACATTCCAAAAGGAAAACTGTTCTTATTGCATAATTATGAATAATGTTTGTTGCAGGCTTCCTTTTTTAATACAAAAACTTACACAATTTAAAGAAGTTTTATGGTTGACATCTGAGAGTTTCAACATATGAGGTGTTCTTGGTCCTATTTTCTATTGTTTTTACTATTCTCAATACTAGAGATTATTTAACAAATAAACTATTATTTTGGAATAATTTTATATTTACAGAAAAGTTGCAAAGGTAGTTCAAAAATTTCTGTAACTACACACCCAGTTTCATTTCCTATAACATTATTCTCTTACATAATTATAGGACATTAAAAAAACCCTAAAAATCCAAGATTGGTATATCACTGTTTACTAAACCATACACACTTATAATTTCACCGGTTTTTCCACTACAGTCCTCACTCTGTTCCAGAATTCAATCAGGGCCACATTGCCTTCAGCCATCCTGTCACCTGTTCTATCTGGTCTGTGACAGCTTCTCAGTCTTTCCTTGTTTTTCATGACCTTGACAATTTGAAGAATACCGGTCAGGCATTTTGTAGAATGTCCTTCAATTTGGGTTCATCTTGATGTTTTTCTCATAATTAAACTTGGGTTATGGGTTTTATAAAAGAATACCACAGAGGTGAAGTGCTCCTCTCATAACATCATAGCAGGGGAGATGTCAACCTGACTTGTAACCATGGCTGTTGTCCTTGAGCAATTGGTTAAAGTGGTGTTTGTAGGCTTCTCCACTATAAAAATCACTATTTTTCCCTTTGCACACTCTATTCACAAAGGTTATTTTTCTAGGGTTTTTCCCCCTGTTTTTGTTTTGTTTTGCTTTGTTTTTTACTGTGTACTCACTTGTATTTGAAAAACATTATTTATGGATGAAATTTAGACCTGCAATGAAGGCACTAGTTTTTGACAAGTATTTCTGTGAGTTGATGTCTTCTGTCTGTGTTTGAAAAATCTCAGACATTATTCTTCAAACATTTCTTCTGCCCTCTCTCCAACATTTTCTCCTCTCTTTCAGTATAAGTTATGTTATACCTGCTGACTCACATTTTCCTCACACTTCTTTTTGAATTTTTATTTTTAAAATTTATGTACTTTAGTTGGATATCTTCTGGTGTTCTGTCAATCTTCTAGTTTGCTAATTTATTAATTATATCTTTTTTCTGTGTCCAATTTTCTGCTAAATCCTCCCATAGAGTAATTTAAGAAATTATATTTTTCAGTTCTAACATGTCCATTTGACTATTTTCTGTTTCAGTTCTCTGGTGGAATTGTCTAACTTTCTATTCTCTCCTTTTTTAATCCATTTTTTTGTGCATTTTAATGATAGCTTTCATGTGCTCACTCAAAGTTCTGGATCATCTGTGCATCTGCTTCTATTATGTATTTTTTCTCTTGGTTTCATTCTATAGTTCAGTCTTTTGACACTATTTTTGACTGAATGTCAGGAATTGTTTTCACAAGACACAGAGGCTCCCAATGTTGTCATCTTCCACATGAGAGTGTCCCCCTTACCTCTACTAGGCAGGTAAAGTAATGAGGTGGATCACCTGAAGTGAATTAGGGCCTGCTCTCACATTTAGTCTATGATACATTTTGAGATGATATTTTGTA